GTAGTCGACCGCGGTTCGAGTCCCGGACCCGGTGGCTTAAACTCATGTCGGGCGCGTGTGCGTGCGTGCCCCAGATCCCAAGAGGAAAATGGAGGAGAAGGGACTGCGGCGTGGACATCCCCCCTGGGGGGTGATTTCTCGCTTTCTGTCTGTTTCTGTCTGGCGAGCACATGCGCCCTATAGCAAAAACCTCTCCAAAAAAAAAAAACAAAAAAACTTTTCTCCTCCAAATCTTCAAGGGTTCCTCCTAATGTAGTTGTGAAAGTGATTACCAAAAACAACCTAAGTTAAACAAGATTAATTTCCTCTAAATGTGGTGCTAGTGCTATAATATACTGCATAAATGTGTACATATACAATTTTTCTAAAAAGTTCATACTGATAATGCAATATGACAGGGGCTGTTTTCTTACACTATTTGTATCCTTAAAAATTCTAGACTCTGGGACAGAAGGTGGCATGGTTAGGGGCACTGGACTCCCACAGGGCTGACAGCGGTTCAAGTCCTTGACCTGGCAGCTTGCTTTTCATTTTTCCCTCTTTCTCTCTCTGTGTCTCTCTCTGGTCAAGTTAAAGTAATAATAGTAATGACCATAAATAAAATTAAATGAAAAATAATTCTTAAAAAAATTCTAGACTCTTATCAATCATTTTCCTATTTCCAAAGATTCAACATTAACTTGAAACTGTTATGTCCAGTAATAATTTGTGCATGAATAAACTGCAATTATAGGTATATGAAGTAGCTGCTAAGTGAAAGGACATTACCTGGTAATTTGACAGGAAAAGAGTCCACAGACAGTCTGTAAACCAATTAAACATAAACATCTGATGCACATTTTCTACTGAAAGAAAAGCAAGGGAAAGAAGAGAAAGGAAAACTTTAAAGTTCCCAAATCTACAAGCAATTTTTACCATTAACTGCACTGTACAGTACTTTCATTTTATTATTCAGAAGTTATATAAAAGTGTTTTTCAGGATTCCCTGGGAAGAAATACTTTAGCATATGTATATAATTTCTAAGAGTTACTCTAATTACATTAGTCCTTTGGACATGAAATAAAAATGACTTTTAAAAATTATCAGTTCAGATCCAAATATTTTTCACTTGTTACATTTGATTAAAAAAAAAAAAAAAAAAAAGCTGAAAGCAAAGAATGGATGTTATGTGGACCTGAGGTGGGTACAGAAAAACCAGGGGCCTAGAGGTAGAAACTCAGGCTTTATACTATTGGTAAGGAGGAGCTTATAGAAAAGCTAACATTTAAAGTGTTGTTAAAATACAAACTTCTTTGCTGAAATCCAATTATCTTTGATTCTCAGTTAAATTATCAACAAAAATCCCAACTGTGATAAAGAAATGGGCACAAGTGGTCCCTTAAAGTGCTAAATGAATTTCTGAAATTCTCAGGAAAGACAGGGTCTGAAACATTGTGAATTGCTATCTATCTTACAATGAAAAGACTTTTTATCATTATCGTGTATCGATATTAAGGCTTTAAGGTTTATGGGGAAAATCTCTATAAATTTTTCTCCATGTTTTTATAAATACAATGGTTATTGTGTATCGATATTAGGCTTTAAGGTTTACGGGGAAAATCTCTATGAATTTTTCTCCTAGTTTTTATAAATTCAATGGTTTCTTTAAATTTAGGTTCAGAAATTCTCAAGGTAAAGAAAAACAGCTCTAATATTGTTAAGTCATAGGTAAAATGTAACTATTACGTTGTTTACCACCACTGTCATTTTGTTCTAGTGATAGACCCATCTTTAAAAATGTCAGGAAATCAAAGTCTCAAAACTCTTCCTTACCCTTTTCAGTATTAAATATATAAAAATGATCTATTAGTGAGTTCTAGAATCTTAATGCCTTAATGCTGTCTGGGACCTTAGAGGTCTTTAGTCAATTCTCTACTCTATCAAGGTAGAAATCTCTCATTATATTATACTTTTAATACCAGGCTCTTCTGCCTATGTTTAAACACCTCCAAAGACTCCATGTATCTCACAAAGAGGCTGCTCTTTTCAAAAACTGGCTCAAATGTCTGGAGCATTCTTCCTTTGATTTAACCAGAACTCCACCTCCTTGTCACTTCCATCTACTACCCTTAGTTCTTCAGCATTCTGGATTAAACCAAGGTATATCTTCTGCATATTCAAATACACTCAATGTTTAAAGGGTTAATACACACACAAAAATCTGTAAAGCCCACTGATACTAGAAGAGCTTAAAAGAAAATAGAGCTAAAGACATGAGAAAACTCATCATTAACCTGTTTATATTTATTATATTATTTATTAATGTGATATCCAAAACAGTGATTGTTAGAATTGTGTAGTAAAATGTTTTAACTAAAAAGTGTGGTTAATCCCAATTTCATGTAGTTTGTGTGGTTAATGTCCCCAAACTATATTTTGTAAAGTATCACTATACAAAGCCTGAATAAATGCCTCTTTAGCTCCTATTCCCCACCTAAAGGTCTCCTTATCTTCAAGCAAACTAACAATTTTTTCACATTAACCTACTCAAAGCTGCCATTATATAAGGAAATTATTTTAAAACGAATGTAACAAATCCTTCATTCAAAATTTATTATGCAATTTCATAGAGGCTATAAGGCATACACACGCACACAATCCCCTAAAGTTATTATTTTGCTGTTAATAAAAGCATTTAAGGTCACAATTGTAATTCAACCATTACCTTAAACTAACCAATAAATAAACTCTGGCAATTTACATGTACCTAAAAAAATAGAACCTTTTATTCAATAGTAACACTTCAGTCAAATACAAGTAGGATATACCTATACTATATAAACATATCTGTTACATAACTCAAAATGGTACTCTCAAAATGCACCATAAAAATACCTATAGTAATTTAAGCTCTGGAGTTTATAGCACATCCAAAACTCTCAAATTCTATATTTAACAATTGTCAGGGTCTATAAGCCCCTTTTGAGATTGTTTTGTAAACTATTTTCTAAAGAATTTATTTAAAGGTGACAGCTTGTACCACTATACCATATCTTCATGATGTGGAGGTAAAATTTCATGGAAAATTACTAATTTGGTTGAAAATACCTCAATACCAAAAGACTTGACCTATTTTTTAAACCAACATTTTAGATAAGTGTAGCTGACCTTTACTTTAGTAGGCAGAATGCAGGTTTCAAAGCAGCAAAGCAGTACATCTGAAAGCTCCACATTTATGCAGCAATCAGCAGCATCTTTTTGTTAGTTTTTTTTTTAATTATTATTAATGCCACCCTAAAACATTAATGTAGCCTTTTCCTTCTTCAAAGAATAACTTTGATGTTTCTTTTCATAATTTTTAGTTTTATCCAGTGGTCTTATTTTAACAGAATATTACAAACTGATGCATTTACACTTCTTACATTATTGACATTTTTATCTCACCCAAATTCTGGAAATTATTGGCCCATCAGCAGTTCGCAAACACTGGATATGTAACAGTAACATAATATTTATATTACTTGAGGGAGTTTGGCTTCCATCCCTTAAACTCCAAGTGTGCCCCTGCCTACCAGCATCACATCCGTCTTGTCTGCATTGAACCTCAACCAGTTGGTTCTTAACCACGTCCGAAACTCAGCCAGGCACTGGGAGAATCGAGCCACCACACCATCTGGATCAAAGGAAAGAGAGCCTCAGTAGCAACCAGACAGAAACGATACCACAGCTCACCATTCACCCTATCTCACATTTTTAAGATGGATGAGAATTAGGACAAGGATTCCGTAACAATTTTAAGAAAACATATATAAGGGTCGAGTCATGCAATTTGTGGCCTATGGTAAAGATAAAATAAAAATAAAAGCGACCCAATATATAGGTTGCCTGATTTCAACCAATTGGAGAAGGCTGGTCAACACAGGGTCTTTCGGCTAAGCCGCCTCGGTAGCCAGGGTGGTCTTTTAATTGCTTAAGTTTCTCTGCAGAATTACAGTTTTAGCGTTGTTGGAGGCTTTAAGGTAAACTGAAGCCCAGAGAAGGGTAATGACTCGCCCAAGGTCACGCAGCATGCAAGGACCACAGACAGGCTCCAGGCCAGGGACCTCTCTCCACTACAAGCTGAAAGAACAAGGCCGCTCAAAGGGGGCAGGTTCTGTCTTGAGATCCTCCCACGCGCCGGGTGGATCTCGTTCCTTCACAATAATGCCCTCTCCGAGACTCACTCTCTCTCCCCCTAGTCGCTTCCTCCGAACACGGCAGGTTAGCCCAGGACCCTGCTTCCCTAGAAGGACTGCAGCGCAAGCATCCCCGGGCTGGGAGCACAGCTGCGGAAAATACACGGGGAAAGAGGCGGAGTCACGGGGGGGGTAATCGGCTTAGCCCCACCCCGACCCGGATCGAGGGCCGACAGAATGGGGCGGAAGCGAACGGGGCGAGGCGAACTCACTCCGCAGCGGACTCCCGGCGCGCCGCAGCCGCCGGGGAAGATCCGCGCCGCCGCCACCGCTAAGGCAAAGAGATGGAGTTAGGAGGGGGTGGGCGGCGGAGGAGGGCTGCGCATGCGCCTCGAAACGGGCGCCGCTCGCCGCGGCCAGCGAGCCTGGCGCGTTCCCTGGCAGCTCCTCCCCGGAAGTCAGGGGTCTTCCGGGCGGTCCTCCGCGGTGGG